AATTGTATTTTGTATAGGCAAAAATAACAGCTGCCATTTGTGGGGTATCTGGGCAAGAACATTCTACTCTAAGGGCTGTGGCTTTTCAGTTTGTTTCTGAAACATGTATTGTCCTGGGACTTGGGCATTCGTTCTGCTGGATGCATCCACAGGGGCTTTTGTCAGTTTGAGTGGGGAAAAAAGGCAGATTCCTGCTTCCCTTGTTGTGGCTCTGCAGCAGCATGTAGTTTTGCTCACCTGCTTGTGCCAGCTTCACCTCCATGGTGCATGGAGGCTTGGTGGATGTCGTGTCCTCTCCCACCTCCCAGAGGGCTGGGGCTGACCTTCTTATCTTGGCAACAGGTCCTTGGTAGATCATCTGGGAAATGACACCCTGCTTCTGGTGGCTGGGGACCATGGCATGACGGACACTGGAGACCATGGTGGGGACAGCGAGAAAGAAGTGAATGCAGCACTGTTTGTGTACAGCAAAACACCCCTATTTGGCACTGCCCCTCCTGAGGTGAGAGGATGTTGGTCCTTGGAGGGGATTTAGCTCATTGCCCGAGGTGACCTCCAGGGAGAAAACTGCATTGTGGGGATACAGAGAATGATGGAGAGACTGAGGGCCAGGGAATCTGTTACCCTCCCGGAGGTGGGGGGAAAGTCGGGCACAGAGTACAGGTATTGTAAGTTTAAAAGACAAGAATATGACCAGTATCAGCTTGTTTCAAGCAAAATCCAACTTATAGGAAAAAAAATCACAAAAATCAGACTGCAGCTGGGATGGATGCCGGTTCTGTTGGACCATTTCACTTCTTCAGTGAATCTCCATGCCTTGTCTTGCTGCAGGGGCCGAGTGCGTGGCAGGGCAGGCAACTCCCCCTGCCTCCAGGGAGGAGTGGGATGTGGCCAGGGTGCCGTCCGTGCCCTTCCCAATGGCCTGGGTGTAAAGTCGTTCCTGAGCATCCCGTTCCTCCCATGTCTGTCCAGGAGCCCGAGGCCGTTCCCCAGGTGAACCTGGTGCCCACCGTGGCCTTGCTGCTGGGAGTGCCCATCCCCTACAGCAGCATCGGCGAGGTGATGGCTGAGCTCTTCTCCGGGGACGGTGACTCCGTGTCCGCAGCCTTGCAGCAGCTCTTGGTCTATCATGTCAACACCAAGCAGGTGCGACTGGGCTCTCGCCAAGCTCTCGTGTGGGTGGGTGAGACCCAGAAGGCTGAGACCTGTTGGCAGCCACGGGGCAGTGCCAAGGGCTGAGCTGTAGGGTCCTGGCTCTTCTGGGAATTCGCTGTCTGCTCTTTCTCACATAGGAGCTCTCAGACAAGCTCTGTGACGCTGGTTGATGGCAATGCTAGGCAGGACCTACTGCAGGCCTGTGTACTGAACAAGAGGGCAAGGGGAGATTAAAAGCAAACTTTTAAAGTTTGTTTAGTTTCTTCTATTTGGTGGGGGTGGGACAGTTACCTCCATGGGGAACTTAATTAGAAGAGTGTGACGCTGGTTGATGGCAATGCTAGGTAGGACCTACTGCAGGCCTGTGTGCTGAACGAGGGGGCAAGGGGAGATTGAAACCAAACTTTTTAAGTTTGTTTAGTTTCTTCTGTTCAGTGGGGATGAGACAGTTATCTTCATGGGGAACTTAATTAAGAGTTTCTTCCTTGTGCGGTTTGCTCCAGCAGAAGGCAGCACTGGTCTCCAAAAGAGATCTGGGAGATCCAGTTTCGTACTTGGTGATGAGCTGTGGTTCAGGAAATCACTGGCCTGGGCACCCATGTGTATTTCTGGATAAGGATTGGCCCCAGCTGGTCAGAGGTGGGTTTGGTTATTTGGGAAGGCAGGTTCCTCAAAGCTCAGGAAGATTATGGGCAAGTTTCATTAGTGGAGATTCAAGAGTAAAAAGTTTTGATTCTGCTTCAGAATTTCTGCTTCAGAAATGTTTTTAGCTGAAAACTGTTCCAACACAGTGACAGAAGGAAAACAGCAATGAAGGATTAAATAAAACAAACACTAAGTAATAGCAGAGAATAAATCGGGATGATAGACTGGGATCAGCTTGTGCCAAGTGCTGCAGAATACACAACCCCACAGCTGAATGTCATTTGGATGGCTGGAAGGGCCAAGATTTTTGAGTGTGATTTGGAATACACTAGGCATGAAAGAAGCCCAAACAATGGAGCAAAGCCATGTGCAGGTCTGCCTGGTTTTGGGGAGCACTGCCTGGTGCCACGCCAGGCTTGTCACAGCAGATCTGCTGCACGTCCTTTGCGTTATAGAGCCTGTTTCTCAGGTAAGACCCTGCCTGCCTTTGAGAGACCTCTGCATTGCTAGAATCATGCTCCTGGCCCCAAAATAACTCCTTCAGCCCCCAGGCAGCTCCCTGCTGTACCCGGGAGCTGTGCAAAGAAGAAGCCAACCCAGCGTGGGCCCTGTTTTGGGTCCAGTAGCTTGGATACAACCTGTGATGTGTAGGTTGGGCGTTACTGGGGCAAGGTAGTGAAGAGCAGAAGACCATATGATTGCTGGTGGGAAGGCAGACGTATTCACCATCTCTGCTGGGTATTTATAGAGGAAAAGGGTGCTTTGTCATTTAAGGATGATGCCAGTGTACTCTCCTGTCTATTAGTCACCACAAATATTGATTATCATCTGTTAGAAGTTAATGTCATCTAGCCCTGCGGGTTTGAATGTTTGCACTTAGTCATCTGAGGAGGTTTCTGGCTTGGTGGCCTTGGTTTTGAATGCAGCATGGCAGCGGGCTTGTGCCAGCCTGAGGGAGAGCTAGAGGGTCTGTCTGGTGCATGGGCTGATTCTGCCTGTGCTCTGAGGCGGCTGGAAGGCACATGGACGTTTAGGGTTTGTGCTGGTGTACGTTGCTAGATGTTTGTGCAGGTGCTGGGCTCTGGTAGTGCCCGTTGCAACATCACGGCTCTGTTCCT